CCCCTTGACCTTCCTGCTTGAAGATGAATCCAGCTCATGACTCGTTGAAGAAAATACTGAAGGATCTTCCATCTCTAATTTCTAGGCAACCCTCCAACTCGACTCGGGGACGAGTTGTCCCCACCTACCCAATAGTGAGAGACCCAAGGGCCTGGAATATCAAGGGGATAGCCCACCTCGTGGCCCAGGCAACCTGATGCCCACAGAGGGTCCAGCAACTGACACTACCTCCCATTTTGAGCTTCCTTAAGACCATAAACGTAAGTGTATTATGCTAAGTGAAGTAAGCCAGTCAAAGAAAGACAAATACCATATGGTTTCATTTATACGTGGGAGCTAATGTACAAGTAAACTAACAAACAAAATAGAAACAGACTCATAGATACAGAGAACAGACTGACAGCTGTCTAAAAGGAGAGGATTGGGGACTGGGTAACAAAGATGAAAGGATCAAAAAAAAAAAAAAGCCCTGATAGTCAGAAAACAGTGCAGTATGGTTATTACCAGAGGGAAGGAAGGTGGGGGCAGGTAGAAGAGGGTAAAGGGGAAATAAATGGTAATGGAGACTAGACTAGGGATGGTTGACACACAATACAATATACAGATAATCTATAATAATAATTAGCATAATATGCTAATTAGACCAGACAGCTGGCCGACCTTCTAGATGTCATTCTGGACATCCTTCTGGAAGAAGCTGTGGTGGCGGGGGGCAAGGCAGAGGTGGTTAGGGGTGATCAGGCAGGCAGGCAAGCAGTTAGGGGCAATCAGGCAGGCAGGCAGGCAGGAGAACAGTTACGAGCCAGAGGTCCCGGATTGTGAGAGGGATGTTCAACTGCCAGTTTAGGCCTGATCCCTCCTGCACCTCCTCCCCCGCACGAATTTTGTGCACTGGGCCTCTAGTGTATTATAGAATTTTACTCTTGAAACTGATTTAATTAACCAATGTAACCCCAATAAATTTAATAAAAAGGTAGATTATGGCTTTTAAAAAGGTAGATGCCACATGCAATACTGCCCTGGCAGCACATGCCCGGGTTGCGGGCTCGATCCCCAATGCGGGGGGCGTGCAGGAGGCAGCCAATTGGTGGTTCTCTCTCATCATTGATGTTTCTGTCTCTCCCTCTCCTTTCCTCTCTGAAATCAATAAAAATATATATTTTTAAAAAGCAATACTAAAATAAAATTATATATTCCTTAAATAGTGATACATGACACAAAATCAAACAAGAACCTCATAATCATTCTACATTTCAATGGAGGGGAGGGGGCATGGTGACTATAGGACATTCCTGCCTTAGTAGAGGGTCCGTGTTACAGTAGAGAGAGCCCCAATTCTAGAGTCAGAGAGAACTGGGTTTAAACCCAGCTTCCAGAACGCCAAGGCTGTGTGGCGTCCATAAGTATATTAATTTCTTCGGGCCTCCATTTCCCTCTTCTGAAAAGGGACGGTAATTCCCAGGTAGCGGGGTAGTCGAGGATCATTGACCATTCAGCAGGTGCTCATCTTGTTTACCTTTCCAGGGGCACCAGTGGACAGTCTCTGAGCACAGATAAGACTGTCGCAGCCTGGGGGACTGAACACACACCAATGAATGGAAGTGACTGAGCTTTTCCTTGAATTTGTGACATCTAGACCGTAACCCTGAACTTGCTGACCCTCATATTGGCTGTGGGTTGGCTGGCAGGAACCTCAATTGTGCTCTGGCAATCTGTTCATCTCCTCTTATAAGGGCACTAATCTTATCAGACTAGGGCTCTACTCTTACAACTTCATTTAATTTTAATTACTTCCTTAATCCCAATACAGCCTCCTAGAAATTAAGACATCAACATAAATTGAGGGTGGGGGACATAATTCAGTCATTAGCACTGCCCCTTCCACAGCCCGGTTCCAGGACGTTCAGCAGCTTTCTTCCTCCTGCCCCCACTGCACTGCATCCAAGTGTGTTGGCAGGAACCCAGCCGCATTCCCTGGGAGTTCAACTACATCCTGGGTAGTTTCTGCTAAGTTTCATGGGCACCTCATTGGGAAGTTCTTGTTTGTCAGCTCTGGCTTCTGACACTTGGCAATCTTTATCAGCCATCCGATGGGCTAGACTTTCCAATGAGGTCTACATCTCAACCCTGTGGAGCACCCTTTCCCAAATTTATTCCTTCTTGTATTATTTGCTCCTTCGTAGTTAATACTATTAGTAATTAATGGTCCTGCATCAAAATTTCTCTTCACTATCAGTTCCACAATGTGAGGTAGTTAAGGTGAAGAAGCTGTGAGGAAATATTCACACATGAGAGGGCATTGCATCTGCATTTAGGCTCGAAATAAGGCAAATAAAAACAGAGTGGAGGGAACCCCTTTGAGGCGTGTCTTTGGTGGCACGGGCAGAAATTAGTTAGTAATTGGATTTGCGGATGCTGCTGAGAAAACTTGGTAGATGCTGGAGCAGGATCCCATGGCCCAGGCTTCCCAACACTGTGTCCTCTACCCTCAGACAGAGACCACTGCCCTAACTGGTTTGGCTCAGTAGATAGAGCGTTGGCCTGTGGACTGAAGGGTCCCAGGTTCAATTCCGGTCCAAGGGCATGTACCTTGGCTGCAGGCACATCCCCAGTAGGGGGTGTGCAGGAGGCAGCTGATCAATGTTTCTTTCTCATCGATGTTTCTAACTCTCTATCCCTTTCCCTTCCTCTCTGTGAAAAATCCATAAAGCATATTTAAAAAAAAAAAAAAGACAGAGACCACTGAGGGATAAAAGTCAGGGGACTAAGACAAGGCGCTGGGGACTGAGCTGGTGATAGACACCACTGACAGGGAGTGAGTAGAAGCAAAAAGGTAACTAAGAAACCCGGAGAGAGGAGCAGGTCTGACTCAGGGAAAGGTGTCTAGTAGGGTGTATGCTCTATACAACGCTGAGATTGTCCCCTACACCCAAACACACAGGCACACGCTTGATCTTCCCAGGGGTGTCCATCCATCACCCTCAACACCAAACAAGTAGTTCTTATACCAAAATATTACACAAAGTTTTAAACATTCAAACTCTTGAGCATTTATTAGACAGATATCATGTGCCCTCAGTTAGCATCTGGGGATGTAGATCTCAATGACTCAGAGTCCCTGCCCTTAGGGGGCTCACAGCCCCGTCTCCGAGAGCAGAGAGAAGGAGCTCAGTACTTGTCGGGCAGGCCTGGAGGTCTGTAGCGATTGGGGTCTTGGCCACTCCGGCCCCATCTGTTGGCTTCCTGGTCGGCCAGTGAGTCTGCCAATCCATGGCCGCTGTCTCCATGCTTAAAAAGGTCACCGACTCTCGGATAAGCCTCTCTGGCATTACTGGAATGGAGGAGAGCAGGTACGAGGTGAATCAGGGGCTGAGGAGAAGCAGCCCCACCCTCCCCTTTCCAAGGGATTAATGATTCTGGGAGGAGCCTGGAATGAGGCTAAGCACTGACCCTGCCTGGGCACAGCCCACTCAGCCCTGGGGTGACGCCCTCACACTGGGTGAACAGCACCTAGAGGGGAGGGTGGGAATCAATCTTTGGCCCTCAGTTTCTTTTTGGGGGACATTCTCTGGCTCTGCTGGCAGCCCAGGCCCTGTGCTGGGCAGGGATGGAGAAGGTGGAAGGAAGAACATGAGGAGGAGCCCAGAGTCCAAACAGAGTCCTTCTCTAGGGCTTACACCCTCCTGATCCTCAAAGTCAGCCAAGCTCTGCTCACCCATCAGGCACCCCCAGGAGCCAGGTTACCTGATCTTTTCAGCAGCCCAGGCTCCGCCAGGTCCCCTTTGGGCAGCGTCATAGTTACCCCGGGCATGGAAGTATTTGTCTGAGTTTTTGTAATTGGCTTCTCTCATGTCAGAGTAGGCTTTCCGCATATCTTTGGCTCCTGGAAAGGAAAGGACATGGCACTGAGACATCAGGTGAAATATCTGAGAACCGTGACACCCTTTAGATAAGAATCAGGGAGAAAATGGACCACTGACTCAGTTTCACCCTGTGGTCTCAGCACCCTGGAGACCACAGGTTGAGAACAACATTCTCCAGGCTGAGTTGGCTTCCCCAGGTGACTCTAAGGAGAGACATTTCGGTGGCGGCACATTTAGGTGTGTTGTACCTGGTGGTCTGATGCCTGTCATGCTGTCTGTGGGCTCCAGCTCACTGAGGCCTCTGGGGCATATGTTTAAAGGAGACAGGGAGGCCACATTACAGAACAGGATTTCAATGTTAGTGCTGCTGAAATTTGGGGCCAGAGAATTCTTTGTGTTCAGGGCCTTCCTGAGTAAGGTGGGAGGCTCCCAAGCATCCCCACATCTCTGACCAGTAGGTGCAGCAGCCTATCCCCATGTGACAACCAGCAGTGTTTCCCACATGGCCACATGTCCCCGGCGCACCAAGGGCTTCAGGATCAAGAACCTCTGGTATATGGAGCAAAGCTACATAGGCTAGTGTTCAGGGGACTCGGTGAGCCTGTTGGTGACATGGGAAGCAGATTGTGAGAAAGGCACAAGGGAACAGCACTTCTGCCTGACGCCTATGAATTGGAGTCTTGCTGACAGAATGCAGGGAATCCTGAAGTGAGTCCCTCTGAGTGTGAGGGGCATACGTGGCATCCTGGAAACCGCCCACATAGACTGGACTGAGGCTGTGAGCAGGCAATTGCAGAGCAGGGGCCTGTATCTCAGCCTTGGCTGCACCTTCTCATCACCTGGGGAGACTGTGGAAGGCCAATGCCACATCTCAGGCCCATCACCTCAAACTCTGTGGGGGTGGGTCGCAGGCCTCTGTCGTTTTTAATGTGTCCCGGTGATTCCAGGTGGTAGCTGGGATTGGTGACCCCTGAGCTTTAGGAGGCGGTGCTCAGACACATCTGCCTGGCAAGAGCTGTGGCCTCCTACACAGCTGGGTTCACACTCTGCCCTGCCACCTGCTGACTGGCAGGTAGTCCCTGGTCCCCTGAGTCAGCTGCTCTCAGCTTCAAAGTAGGGGAAGATGCCTGCCCACCAAGTAATTCTCCACTTAGACTGGTGACCAGGTTGGACCAGAACTGTCCCTGTTTGCCTAGAACTGTCCGAGTTAGCACTGAAAGTGTCATGGAAAACTCCCCAGACCCAGGCACACCAGGAGAGTTGGTTGCCCTAAATTGCATGGAAGTGCTGAGTTCCAAGAGGGGGCTCAATGAATGTTACTAGTTGCCTTTTGGTCAGTTAAAAGGCTGGAAGAAGCCCTAGCCAGTTTGGCTCAGTGGATAGAATGTCAATCTGGGGACTGAACAGTCCCAAGTTCAATTCCGACCAAGGGCACATGCCTGGTTGCAGGCTCAATCACCAATAGGGGGATGATGGAGGCAGCTGATCAATGATTCTCATCACTGATGTTTCTATCTCTCTCTCTCTCTCTCTCTCCCTTTCTCTCTGAAATCAATAAAAATATAAAATAAAAATTTTTAAAACGTTGGAAAAGGGTAGGAAACATACTAAAGCAGGGACAGTGTACCTGACTATAGGAAGCCCCAGCAAGAGCTAAGTTGCAGGTCTCACTAAACTTCCCAGTTAGGAAATGGAAGGGAGGGAGAAGCAAGAGAGAGGGCAAGGGGAGGAGGGGAAGAAAAGATGGGGAGGGGAAGAAAAGATGGATAGCTTTAATCATACTTTGTGCAGTTGCTCTGAGGGAAATTGTATACCATTAGAATACCTACTGTGTCTTCTAGTCAAACTTACCTTTCACCTGGGAATGATGATTATTCTTTCTCTAGTAACTGAATGAAATAAGTCCTGCGGTTTTTCCATGTGTTTGATGAAAAGCTCCCGAAACACCCAGCACATTCTACCGCATGGGGCAACACAAACTAACACAGTAGCCCCAACCCTGAAGGGCTCTCAGGTGAAATCCTAGTGGCCTTAGGTTCCATCCCCGACACCCCCCAAGGGACTTTACCGTCATAAGCCTGGCCAATGAAGTCAAACCAGCCCTCGCTGCTGACTCCCAGGGCCAAGGAACAGAACACGAGGCTGGTGAAAAGCTTCATGGTGCTGAAATGAAAGGGGAGGGTCAGAGAGATGCAGGCAAGATTGGCACACCTCCTTGGGGATTTGTCTGTCAAAGACAGCCCGGCTGTGCATTTCCATTTGTTCTCTTGAGAGGCTGGCTGCCCATCTAGAAAACATTGCAGTAGGACCTCACTCAGAGCCACAGTCCTCAATTCTGAACCCATCAATCCTGAACCCAAGACTGAGGTAACCAAGGAGGCACTGAGGGAGCAACAGAGCAGTTAGGACCAAACCCCCTGAGCAGCCTGTAATGAATCCAAAAGCATTACCCTGTGCACTCGTCTGGCACAGACCCCATACAGCACCAATGCAGAAGAGAGTAATTATTTAAAATGAATGCACAGTCTTGCTGGAAACAGAAAACAGAGTAAGGTTTGTAGAGCAGGCCTCCTGGGAGTGGGCCCTCACCTGGTCTCTGGTGGAGCCGAGCTGCTGGTCCCTGCCTGCTGGGGACCGCTGGCTGCTATTTATTGATGCTGAGCCCTCCCTGCTGGATCATGTGGGTGGAGAGGGGCGGGAGAGAAGCCAGATTTGGCACCTGGGGAAAGTCCCTCTGGATCATTTCTCTTAAAAAGGCACAAATGACATTTATTGGACAGTAGTGGTTGTCTTCATGCAAAGGTCATTTCCTCATTGTGTAACCCTCAAGAAACACAGTAGACTCGCTCTGCCCCGAAGCCATGGGTCAGGGGTGCCTCTGCTGTCAGAGTTGAAGGGGCCAAGGCAGGGCCACCTCAATGCGGAGAGGAAAGGTGAGGGCCTCCAGCAAGGGGCACCCAGGCTGTTGGAAGGTGTGCAGTGAGGGGCTGTCTCCTCTAGCCAGGACCTTGCTTTAGTGGTCATTCCCTCAGGATGGTCTCTGCATGGTCAGATAGTAGATGTGTCAGAAATGAAATCCCTTTTGAATTCATATCTAAAGCCCTGAGCTTCAAAACTGACAGGCTAGCTCACCAAATCTCCCAGGTGCCCTGGAAGGTGCTTCCACCACAAAAAGGCCTGCTCAGCTGGCTCAGCCATGAAGAAGTGTATTATTTGATCCGGCTCCCTTATGTTATTCCAGGAACTCTGCACGGTGACATGTGGTTACTAGACTTACCATGGTGACCACATTATAAGGTATCTAAATGTCTAATCACTATACTCTACCCCTCAAACTAATATAATATTATATGCCAACTACACTTTAATTTAAAAAATCTTTCATTAATAAATAAAAATAATCTGGCTTCCTAGTTGTGGGCAATCAAGTGGTGGGATCTTTGCTTCGGCTCACCCCACCTCATAATGGGAGAGGAAGCGTTTAGATGCCAGGAACTATCAGGGCCTGGGGCAGGCTGCTCCCAAGTATCCCACAATGGTGTATTGATTCCTTTGAATTAAAGTCACTTGACAAGCAGCCAATGCAGAAAGGGACGCCAATCCTGCCTTATCTCCCTGGATGCAAAAATAAATCTCCCCTGTACAAGGTACCCTCCCTGCTCCAGGGGGCTGAGAGAGACACCCTTAACGCCAGAGTTCAGCAGAGCCTGTACATACAAACACTGCTACTTCTTTACTAAATTACTACCCCAGCCTCAGCTGGTTTGGCTCAGTGGAGGTTCCCCATGTCTGAGCGGCCTGTGTGAAGCTGAATTTGACCTCAGGAGTACCATCATCAAGTTTTGTGATCAATAATGGCTCAAAGCTGATTAATTTCTTTCAACAAGTATAATGAGAGAATCTGTGTAGTTTAAATTTAAATATTACGTTTCAGCACTTCTAAAACACACATGCTTTGATTATAAATTTCTGAAATTAGGACGTGTCTTACATTCACTAATGACCAGGCTATACTAATGAAATAGTTGTCATTTGCTTTAGGAAAAGGTATAAATTTATGTAGGTTTACCGATTTGTTTATATACACGGGAGTGATGTAAGATAAAAATCTATGTCTAAGAGGGTCCAAGAGAATTTTCTCAATAAACGTGGAATGAAAAGTCTGAGTAATAAGAAACCATTATGTCTTAATTGAATTAACAGCAATTTTTTCCTTGGCGATATGTAAATAATGATGCGTTTTTAGTCCTGGTGTCTTAGAGAAATACAGTGTGTCTGTCCTTGTTCTCCCTCCACTAGTTTCCCAGTGTTTTTACAATTTAGGGTCCTAATTTTTTTCTATGAGAGAGCATGTAAAGCATTTCAAGAGAAAATAAATTTATATCATAAAATAAAGTTATGTTATTTTGGTTTGTATGGTAGTAGATATTTTGATATGGATTTTCATCACTACTTTAAAGTGACTCATTACCATGTCCTGCAAATCAATAA